GCCACTGACATATTGCATCTCCATCTTTGTTTGTTACAGCCAAGGAAGTATAGTCTGATGTTCTAGACACGTCGGTGAATATAAAATTCCATCCAGTAGCGCTGTAAGTATCGACTGCCTCTGAGAATGATGCTCTATAGACCKTGTTTGGGGTATGTTGTCTAGGTAAGTTGAGTAATGAATCCTCAAAAGATGTGGGACTGATAAGCCAAGGAGGAAAAGTTTCAACAACTCTTTTCTCTCGGTAAAGAGATATGAAATTCTCCTTGACGAAAACGAGAGATCTCGATAACGCTGATGGGATCCTCAGCTGCCTTTTACGTGAAATTGCGTTGTTGAATGCATTTGTTAGCGCTGTGTTTGTAGCGTCAAGTAGTTTTAAAGCGAATTAATATAGTTGCATCGTTCTAAAATTATATACGACGATGTGTGAAGAAGGACTGACAGGCTTGGCAACATTAAATGCAATGGAACGAACTCTTAAAACAGTTGTGTACTATTTTTCCAAATTAAGGGCACGAAAATATTTAGATAATTAATTTGTTTTAATTTTACTACTTATTATAATCTTTTTTAATAAGTGCGTGTTTATTTTTATCAAAATGGTATGAATATTTTTCAAAAGTTATACATTTTTTTGTTAAGGTAAAATAGGCTTAGAATGGGCGCTCAGTTTGGCATGTGCTATTTTACAGTCCATAACTGTAGCTTCATAGTCTAAGCTCGTGAAACATTGCTATGCCCCTAAAACGCTATTATTATAGAATTAAGAAGTATTGATCATATGTGCCTATTCCATAAACTATCTGAATTCATTATCTTAATTAATCATCATTTTTCAAAACTAATAAGAAAGACGTGGCAACAACTTAGCAAATCTGACCGAAACTTTTAACTATCCTAATACCATGTTCAGACCGACACTTAGTCACACGATTTCGGCTGTTGAGTGGTTTATCCTACCAATCCTATAAATTTATCAAGATTTCACCGTACAAAAATGACAGTTCAAAATCACTTCATCGAAGTGATTTGAAACTGATCCATGCTAAATCTCTCGGTGCGCCATCTACTTGTCAGCATTGGAAATCTATGACAGCTGATTTAGACACTACAAAGAGAAAAAAATGAAAACAATAATTTTTTTTAAAGCAATGAATCTAATTTCACCCGAAAATCAACTTAACAAATGAAAAAATGCGCCGATTATTTATTATGTGGAAAATAAAAAAAAAATACGTATTTTATTTCAAAATACTATATGACAATCTTTTCTTTTGATAAATATTAAGCGATGTGCATTCTTGAATGCCAAAAACAGTTGATTTTCATCTTTCCAGCGGCAGTAAGAACGGGCTGATTAGTGAAGGGCATAAATGTAATCTAATCCCTTTAAATTTTCGGTCTGAACGTTGGTATAAACTACAAATATTTCGTACTAGATTATCAAGTATACTAGAAACGGAGGCAACTTCGAATATTATATCCGCATTCAGAGAGACATTAATAATATCGCTTTAAATTTGGTATCTCGGCAATGCGAGTAAGTGAGATACCTTCATTGCACTAATAGACTAAGGTTTTTCTAGTATCAACGTAGTAATTTACACATATCATTGCTATTAACAAATACTAGATTTATGCTATACTGCGTTACCGTAATTGATAAGCAAGAAATTAAGTGGCCACTTTTAGCGCTGTAGATCTGCTTCCGACAGCAAATTACTTATTAAATACATATACATTCTATGACTAAAAGGGAGTAAATTTATAGTATATTACTCTAAGTACGTAGGCACTTGTATATTAGTGTCTCATATCTAATGTTCCACTCTGACTTACCTGACATTCGAGGCATCGGCAGTTATCACAAAGTGTGCAAGGCAATCCAAGCAGATCGGCTGCTTCCTTGTTAAGCTCGTAATTGGTTTTTTGTTGGTGGGTTGACTTCAACACCTCTAGTTGTTGTGGGGCTTGGTGTTGTTGATTGTTGCTATCACTACTTCCGCTCCAATTATTCGATTGGTTCTGCTGCTGATGTTTCTTTCTCCCGCTACCCGTTGCATTTGGCTCCATTTTTCCATTCCAGTAATGCTTGACGATGTTGTTCAATGGCCCACAAGTTGCCATTGCGGCCATTGAAGCGGTTAATGTAGTTGACTCAGCGGTATTTGATTCCTTAACACTTGAGTTGGTACGGAATTCAGTAGGTGTACTGGAACCGGTAAATACGACACGAACATTGTGGCTGGTATAAAATGAAGTTAAGGGGAAATAATAATAAATTAGAACTTCTAGTTTTAGGAGAGAATGGAAGTTGAAGGTAGTACAGTTAAAGATATATTTTTTAAAACATAATAATAGAATATAGATCAATTGTATTTGAAATATTTTCCATTGAGAATAAATGGAAGACGAATTGAGCTCATTAGGAAAGTCAGTAATAGAATTTCATAAAAAATAAGTTTTTTTTTATAACTCAATTTAAATATTAAAAGCAAACTCACTTATTTTGGTATTCGTTTTCCATGATGCATTCGTCGCCGGTCTTCCATTTTTCTTCCTCAATGAATTTTCGGAATTTCGTTTTTTTTGCGATTAGGGAAGGTTTTAAATTAATATTCTTTTTCTTATTGTTGTTATTAGGTTTGTTTTTGCAAGTATTTTGCATCGAGTTCGTATCTGTGCATGCACCAGCTGCTCTTCCGCAATAGCAATTGGTATGCAGTGAATGAAGGCTGTCACAACCACCGGCATTTATTACATAACTGCAATTGAAGAATTTTTGAAATACATCCGTCGATGCCAAGCATGTCGTTGCGGGTGGATTTATTGTTGTGGCAGGTGCTGTCGTTACTGGATTTCCGATTGCTTCCGGAACGTCACAAAACTTTCCAAAATGACGCAGTTTATACTGCGTTGGTCGAGTAGCCGCAGAACAACTGCGATGGCCAGAACTCGATGATTGTAGACAATATGACTGGTTTTTACTGCTCACGTCATTAGGATCGATCAAATTTAGGCGGGCAAAGTTCTAAGAAAGCGAAAACGAATTATTAACAACGATTATAAATGCAATAATTTGCTGCATAGGAAGAAACATGAGTTTGATAAAGTGAGAATTTGATAGGAATATCATTACTATGGTCATAAGGCAGAGGTGAACCAAAAACGTAATTTTCGACTTCTTTAAGTTTTCTGCCATTTGCACATTTGATCTGTAACATATTTTTAACCTTACCCCATAATATCGGTAATTAGAATTGAGCACGTATACGGAATTTGGATTAGGCCTCTGAAAAATGATGTCGTCCATTATGACACCTGGAATGGAAAAATACAGTATTTCTGATAAGGCTATATTTTTTTTAATACTTTATCCTGATCTTAAATTATGAATCCCGAAAAACCCGCGCTTAAGTTATAATCTGTTCTGTTTTTATATCGGAAGAGCCGTACTCAAGTCGACATCTATTTGATATATTAATAAATTTCGCAATGAAAAAGCTTTCCCACCAGAATAATGAAAAAATAACTCCACTCCGTTAAATATGGCAACCACGAGCACTTAAAGAATAAATTAAGTAATATTTTGAATCGGACATTTATTTTTAATAATGAATATAGTTTCTATTCAAAATGACTTACTAATGAAAGCAGAATAACATAAAAGAAAAGCAGAAGAATCTTCAAAAACATAGTCGTAAAAAAACCCCAAAAAATATAAAATTTTATGAAAAACTGAACAAAACATATCATTAAGGATTCTCAAGCATGTGGTTCATCTGATGTAAATATTTCAATGCAATTGTTACTAATATTTTTCTTTCCATTAAATGTTTAAATTTTTATTAGAATAAATTATTGAACATTATTTTAAAAAAATCTGAGAATAACTAAATTTTTCAACACAAGTTACCGAAGAAGTACAATCAAATTCCTTTTTTTATTACAAGATACAGCTTTGAACGGAATACCGTCAGAGTTTTCTACATCAGTAGCTGCCTGGTAAAAACAGCCAAACGTTGATATTTTAAAATTAAGTAGGAATCCTTTGATATGGATCTAAAATTCAGAGATTTGAGATTTTACAACTAGCGTAAATGAAGTTACGAATTCCAAAAATTCCAAATATTTTATATACATATGTACTTAAACAGGTACCTTGAAGAACGTAAAAATTGAACGCCATGAACGGTTACATTATTCTGAAACTAATAAAGCATGGTTCTCGCCTAAACGGTACGCCATCTAGCGACTACTGCCGCATCACTAATCATTGAATGCAACCCATTCTCACATGCATATGTACATATGTATTTGACAATTATGGTAATGTTATTTTATAAAAATTTTATTTCTGCACTGTGTTTTCTACAGTTTTTATATGTGATGGAAGTTGTAAATTGAAAACTAATTGTGCACAAAAGGATTTAAAATCCATCTTGGTCCTTTTTCAAGATTGCAAAAGTTCTAAAATTACCAAAATCAACAGTGCACAATTTAATAAAACGATATAAGCAATATTAATTTACGAGGGAGCAAAAGAAGAAGTGGCAAAAAATTTGGTTGCAAAGACTCAAATTTGAAAAATCAAATAGTAAGGTTAATTAAAAATTGTCCCGACGCATAAATGCGGGGTTAGTTGCCTACCATGCCACAAAACATCTCAACAGATCGAAGAAATTAATGTGTGGCAAAATCTCGTGTCCGTTTGGTATATGGCAAAGTGCTGAGCAAACGTAAAAGATGTATAGTAATGAATGGATTTTAAACAGCTTCCTGGTAGGAAATTTTAGGTAATGCGACCTTAAAATTTAAACACAAAAAATTTATAAATTTGCTAAAAGGCAATGGTATAGCAAGCGATTTGTAGCTGTGGCCTTAGGAGCCGGACTTCGTCACATCGAAATAGAAATGGAATTATGTATATCTAAATTAGAGATAATGAGATCCCCAACTCCAGCAATTGCTAAACGTCAAAACCTACCGAACTTTGGTAGGTTTTGACGTTTTGCAATTGGAATGACTGGGACGGCCAGATTGAAATTATACCAAAAATATATGTGAACGAAGGAATTTATTGCCGCCGTTCAAGATCGCTAATAAAAATTTAAAATAATGAAAATCAAAGAAAATGCCAAATTGAAATATATATTATGAAACGTTTTGTAATTTGATGCATAATAGAATTCATTTTCTATTACAAATGATTAAAAACATTTATTAATTTAGAACTAACAGGCTTAATTCACCTTATTAAGTATTGAAATATCGAAAGTCAGTTGTTTTAATATACCATAAATCATAAAAAAGGAATTAAGTAGTTTCGCCATATATTAAAAGTCCAATATGTTATAATTTGTAATCGTTATAAATGTTGGGTGTTTTAATTTAAATGCCCAAAAATTTTTATTTTGTTCAATCTGGCCATAATGGAAAATGTTATAAAAAACGCTTATTTTGAGGCGCTCTCACACTGGAATAAGTTGGGCATCCCATTATCCCTAATCTAAATGATCACGATGACGAGACGAGTTGATTTTTGAGTGACTGACTGTCAGTCCATCCGTTCAAGCGGTCGCTTGAGTAAAAATCATAAACATCGTAATGGAACATGGTACACATGTTTGGCAAAAAAAGAAAGGACGAGTTCGTAGATAGGTGTAATCGGAGCACTGTCACGCCCATAAACTTTATTAAACGAAAGCGTATAAGTGCCATAACTAATCACTAAACTAAGATACAAAACTGTAACTTGGCCTGTAGGCTAAAAATTAAAAAAGGCCTTGGCCTTGCCCTCTAACACCTTAATGTACACATATTCAAAACCACTTAAGGTATAATATCCAAAATAGCTCAGATCATTTATAAAATTATAAATAATTTATAACAATAATTATAATAAATAAATATTCCAGAGGCATTAAATTTTACACCTGAGATGATACGGGAGGATTTTGTAGAACGACGCGCTGCGAACCGCTCACATTCCGGTGAAAAATTCATATCTCAAGACCTACTCGACCGATGTCGAGCTTGCAATGTCACCTTAACATTCCTATGTTCCAGTGCGAGACAAACGAAATCGGTTTAAAACTCAATATTAAATTCCGTGTGATTATTTCATTTTACAGAATTCTAGCCTAGCATGAATATATAGAGATCAAGATTTGTCCGAATAGTGCGTAGTTAAAAGTAGGCCCAAGTGACTAAAAATTATCAAATCCATAGATACAGAATATGTGAATCAAGGTATCAATTGCGAACTTTTTATCGAAAATATCGGTCAATCTGTGAGATATATTTTAGCAATTTGGAGAGATTCCTTTTCTAATAATATGACTGCGGGCTGATTTAGCAGCCATTAATTCAAATTTCAACTATAAACTGGGCGTATTGGAGTTGGATAGTTGTGAAGCTTCAAACACAACTTACATATGTACATATAGTATGTTCCATCAGTTGCTTTCAACCGTTTTACCCGGCAATTATGGCAAAGCGCTGAAATTTGCATAAAGCCTTTGTTTAAAATATTGCAAAAACTATAATATTTGTATAGTCTAATAGTGTGGATAAGTGGGTGCAACCGAACATTTCATACTCTTGCAACTTACAAGAATCAAAGCCAGGGAAATACTTTATGGTGTAAAACGTCAACCTGAGGATCGAAATGCAAGCAATTTTATATATACATATACTATATATAACTCGTATACCAAACGAAAATCATTTTGTGTAGAATACGGTAGTTAGGGTAGTATAGACCCGATTTTATCCATTTTTCCTAATACCCAATACTATTAGCATGTCACATATTACAAATGCATCATATAGAGTAAAGTCAGCCGGCGGTTCGAAAAGCCTGGCATTAGTTATATAGGGGCTATGTATATGATACACTGTTATGAATAAAACACGCTATCTTATTTTTATTGGAATAACATACAAATTAACGGATATACTTGTATGCCATACAGAGTCACCCGGAAGTTCGAAAATCTTTATATTATGTATATGGAGGCTAAGGGAAGTGTTGGTCTAATTCCACCTATTTTTGACATGCGATTTATCTGTGTCAGATACGGATTGTCCCTGATTTTCAATTATGTACATATATCTCACTCATTGGCCTGCATTTTCGATCAAGAGTAAACTTTAGGTACCTTGAGCAGTTTTTGGTCATACGGTGGCACACATTAAAGGTATTATTCGTGCAAAGTTTTATCCCGTTATATTGATTGCTTTTTGATTTGTGCACTGGAAACTGAACGAATGAAATGGAATTTAAAATTGTGCTCTACGGGAAGTAGGCGTGGTTATTGTCCGAGTGCGTTCATTTTCGCGACATAAGAATATGAAAAGAATTTCACATCGCCCATTTCCCAATTTTTCCCCGGCCTCTATAAAGCCAAGTCATACCAACTCGGCGGCAAATTTTTCTCTCCCATATTTAGTTATTGATTAACGCGCTTTAAGTAGTTTGGAACAGTACCTTTAAATGGGGAAGGAACTGGATTTCCATCCAATATACACATTCAACTTATTAGAGGGCGGGGCCACGCTTACTTTTCAAAATTTTGTTCCCACAGTGCCAAATGTTTATGTATTGATTTACAGCTTAATTATGACACTTCATAGGTTTTCGGTTAAACGGTGATTTGTGGGCGTGGCTCGTGACTCGAACTTTGTTTGTACTAAAAAACTTGCATACCAAGTTTCATCAAGATATATCAATTTTTACTCAATTTTCATCAAGATATCTCAATTTACAGCTTACAGCTTGCACGGATGGACGGACAGACACACAGTCAACCGGATTTAAGTTTTTCTCGTCACCCTGATCATTTATATATTTATAATCCTACATCTATCTGGTTTAGTTTTAGGTTATACGCGCAACCATCAGGTGAACCAAACTATAATACAGGTACATGTACCAACTGGTAGCAAGAGTATAAAAAAGCTTTGGGTTCTAAACAGTGGATGAAAGAAACACAAATACAAACCCTAAACCCTCACGTGAATCCGCCAAATGAATGAAATGACAGTGAATGCTGACATTTTTGAGGTTGTGGCTATAGCCCAAAAACAATAAATCGTCGAAAGTCTTACAAATAACACAGCCCGACAAAATTAAAAAACTTAACTTTTGACCTGAAAAAAAAAAATAAAAAAAAAGCTACATATGTACATATATCATGAAAACTAGAGCTGATAGAGACAAACTGATTACATATTTCAATTCAGCGCGCCTAAATTAACTAGAATCAGTTGATAAATTCAAAGAAGTAAATTGAGTGTTGGCCTGTGTAATTGATAATATTGATCAAAATTACTGGTTTTGTTTTTTCGTTTTTACAATCCAAAAATAAATGTTTAAATAATTTAACAATTGAAAAAACGCTTTTTGAGTGATAATTGAAAACGAGTGGATAGATTGTAATCATTAAGATAAAATTTTGTTCGTAACAAAGTGAAATAAATACTATGTACACATGCTACATATGGCTATGATAGCACAGTAACACGAATGGTATTTAGAAAAATATTGTTTTATTTTTCATTTGTTTACTTTTGAATTTCATAATTTTAATTTTTGGATAAGGATTAAATCAGTAACAATATACTGTGACGAACACGGATATGAGAACAAAAAAGAATGGACGATAAATGGACAGAATTTACTAAACAGCCAGAGTATTCTAGCGGGTGAAGTTTGTTAACAATATAAGTCTATAGTATATAAGTTCTGCCGGATTGCGTTGCAGTTAGTTAGAGTGCTGCCGTGTAGAGAGCAATTGAGATATGTACATATATGGAGGTAATACGTTGTAAGCTAAGATAATGAGTACTTAGGAACAAAGGTAAGTGTTTATTAAACAATCCACTGATCGAACTCTAGAGTGTGTTACAAGGTAAACGATTTATCGAGAAATCGATATCGATTTATTATTTTTAAATGTTACTTATTAATAGTAGATAAAATAACTTTTTTAATGATAAAGAGTGAGTCTGTTAGATCAAATGTGATGGAATGAGAATTGAAATCGTGACATATACGGCAGAATGGTCGTTTAACTCAAAATTTGTTCTAGAAAATTTTAAAAGTAAATGTTTAAACTGCCTGGTAGAGCGAGCGGGAACGTTAATTAAATTAATATCAGATAAGAGAGATGGGCTACAGACTGACGCATTCATGAGTTTTACAAGAAATATTATACCAAGCATCTTCCTACGACTAGCGAGTGTAGGGAGATTTATAAGTTTTAAACGGTTAGTGTAAGGGGGAAGGTATAAACTGAAATCCCAATGCAAATGATTTAAGGCAAAAAGAAAATTGTTTTTGAACGAATTTTAACTTCTCCGAATGGACTTGATAACTAGGGTTCCAAACCACAGAAGCATACTCTAATATAAGCCTCACCAAAGTAAAAAGAATTTTTGTGCTCCTTTAGCTTTAAAAACCGTGGAAGATAAAAATGCGTTTGGGTCTCAGATCAAACAAAATTGCATACTTGCTCCAACCTAAAGTTTTGTATTACATATGAAGTAGGGTCTACAGATCTATGTGAAAAACACATCGTTTTACATTTTTTAAGGTTCAATGGAATGTCATTTCTAACACACCAGGAAACAGGTTGTTTAAGTCTGTTTGCAACTGACACCTTTCGCCATTTGAAGTATACGACTTAAAAAGTTTTACATCGCCAGCATATAATAAAACTCTTGAATACTTAACAACAGATGATATGTCATTAATAAATAACAAGAACAGAATTGGCCCAAGATGGCTAACTTGAGGATATGTAAAATATGACTTGTTGAATTCTATTACTCAAATAAGAAGAAGCAATCCATTTTGGAAATATTGGTTGAAAACCAAGAAGATCAAGTTTATTCAAAAGAATTGTATGGTTTACTGTATCAAAAGCTTTACTAAAATTTGTGTATATAACAGCAGTATGCTTATTCTCTCTAAAGCCCGTGGTAGGAGAGAAGAGTGACTCCGTCGCCGAGTATTGTAAGATGCGATGCTGAAGAAACTCCATACGGAATCCTTAAAACTATTTGTGGATAATCGGTGTCGATCTCGGCTATGATTCCGAAACGGTGAGTGCGAAAGCGAACCAAAATAGATCTTGTTGTAGCTGTGGACTTCCCATGAGAGGATCGTTCAAAGAATTCCCAGAGGTTGACTTCATAGATGCGTTAAGAACGACCCGTAGTTTCGTTGTTTGACTTGTGGTCTTTACCACCACATGATATGGCTTATAGTAGAGTTTATCTGTTAACGTCTCAACTGGTTTCATGTGTCCCAATCCCATTGATATGAACGGATGACAGCGCTCTGGGAAGGGGAAGGAGTTGGACACACGTCACAATGACGAATGAGGCATGCGAACCGTTGTCAAGGAGTGTTCGAGCGGGTTGCCAAAGACCAGTATAATCTTGTATCATAATTTCAGCGGTTGCTAGTAGAATGACGCGATCAGCGTAGGCGTAGTGTGCGGTGACATTTAAACGTTGTTATTTGAAGGAGCATCGGGCTTCGCGAGTTGATTGGTAAAGTTTTGGTGAAGTAAGGTACGAAGACGTCGTTGGCATATGCGTCACGACGATGTGCTATGACAGTTAGTGAGGATATGCCCTTTTCTGAGACAATTTATACACGTACCTAACTTCTTCATAGCAGTTAGTTTACCCATGGAGTCGAGTTGGCTGAACTGTGAGCAAACCTTAGATTTTATGCTCAGCATTGCAATAAGAACAATGCGGCCGTTAGTAGCGGTTGATGTAGCGTTATGTAGAAGTACTTAGCGGCTTAGTAAACGTCGTATTGAAGATATTCTTTGTTGTTGTTGTATTTGCAGCAGTGTTGAGTAGTGGTCCATCTCAGGTGAGCGTGCGCAGTTTTCAAGAAGTTCTTGAAGAACGGAGAAAGGTTGTAGATCGTCCATAACGAGCTTGCGGGTTTCGTGTGCTCACTTTGAAACGTTTAAGTAAACAAACTAGTGATCCCAGAATTCGACTGATCGCTCGAGTGGACGTAGAGCATCAACGTGTTGAAGTATAGAATATAGTACTTGATGTATTCTCTTAGCAGTACCCTCGGCTGCGCTCCAATTGTGTGGCTGTCCACCATGGCACGGATGACCTTGTACCTTGCGATCAATTAGTCCCAAGCTTCAGCATATTTGCTTTCACATACTGCTAAGCTACTCACCAAATCGAATGCTTCCCCATTCAAACAGTTTCGTAAACAGTGTAATTCTTGTCCGCCCGGCAAATTAACATTCGTATGAATGAGAGAGCAAAAATCATCACGAAAATGAAGCCATTGAGTGGGATCACCACCAAATGACGGCAGATGTAGTTTTGGAAGCAGGTGAATCATGAACGTTAGTTTGCAATGTCTGCTGCCTTTGAGTTGCGAACAGCGTTTCAGGTTAGCTTTATCGGCGCTGTACTACTCCTCACCTTGTATGCATGCCTGATCCTCCATGGAAACGGTCTTGTCAGCACATGTGAGTGAAACCATTGCTCCTCCAACAATTGGAGATAAGTAGTTATTACCTCAGTGTCTACCGACAGAGTATCCACTTTGCATTTAGCGCGGAGTCGCGAATTTTAGCGGAAGACATGATTAATATTGAAAATGTTGAAAATGAAAGCGAATTAGCGGAATATCATTAATATGCAATGATATCTGGGTCGAAGCGCCAAAATATGTTAATGTTTAATAGCGTTCGCAGAAGATGAATAATATTAATGCGGATTGAAATAAAAAGCGTGTTATGCGGTCGAATTCCTTTGTTGAAGAGAGAGATAAAACGAAAGCTGGTTTGACAACAAAAATTTATGAAAAGTGATAAAGAAAAGCCTTAGAACCCAATGAATCTAGCCAAGTCCCAAATATAACAGGTTTTATATTTAATAAAATAAAATATAAAAATTAATGCTTCAATGAAAAAAATTTTTATTTCAATATAGACTATAACTGTAATTTTAGCTGAAGCTTATCACATATCGTATACCCTAAATATTTCTACTAATACTGTCTATACTTAGGTATTAAGTGATTTGACTTGTTAATGAATTTTATTAATACAGTGAAAGCGCTAATAAATAGACATCTTTAATCGTGCACATTGGCCGATCCCAAAATTGGTTGATGTTTAATAAGGACAATTTATTAGGCGGACAGAAAGGAAGATCCCGACAATCTCCGCTCACGGGAGACTACACTGCATTTATTTATTAACATGCTTGTTAATTTCAACAAATAACTGTATAATATTTAAACTAATCGTTAACTCACTTACCATATAGGTTAAATCCTAAGAAGTTATTTATTGCTTTTGGCTCTGTGCGATTTGAGAATGTTGATGGGCGTTAGTGTTTTATTCTCATCAGTGAAGCTTGCAAGCGATGAAATTGCAAACATTTTGAAAACTGAGCATTTTCGTCATTTTGTTCCTTCGGGCAGAATTTTTGTTCGCGCACCTGTTGGCAGTAGTTGTCGCTTGTTTGTTTTTGGTATTGATATTTAGAAGTTGCCTTCCAACTGGGCTCTTATATAATCCATTCTTATTTCAAGCACATACTATATGTATAACTCATCTTTGTAATGTCTATGAAAGAATAATACTGATTGATGAATTGAAAATACAAGGCGAAGTCATAGTTATGTAGGTGAATAAAACAAGAGAATTGGCTAGGTTAGGATGTAACTGAAATTTTACACTATCACAAATTGTGCGGTTATATAATTTTTTCCAAGGTTAAAATGTATAAATATATCTGTCTCTCTCTTGTTACTGTCACTTTTTCATTTTATCGACTTTCAGGGATGCTGAAGAAGTTTTCACTTCTTTAAGAATAAATAATAGCAGGTGAGAAAGGCCTAAATTATTTATACTTTTGTAACATGTAAGAATCAAAGCCAGGCTGATAGTAAAACTTTGTATTCAAAAATGTTGCGAAAGAATTCAACATTTATTATTCCAAAAATTCGAGAATAAATTACAATCAAATTTATTATATTTCTGAAGTTTAGACCAAGGTATAGAACAATTCCTTCTAATTCAGTGCTAAACCACATAATTAAAAAAACCTTGTCCATATATTAAAATATTATCACATTTAACCATCCAGAGGTCAAAACATGGTATTTTTACGAAATCTTTTTAAATAAACAATCATTGGTAAATACTATCGTCATCAAATTAAAAGGTGAATTTTGTCCATTTCATCTCCTTCAATGTAATTCCTTACCACTGCAATTCACTTATGCCAACGAATTTTCCAGTCATCATAGTACTTGGAAAAATTCCCCTTCGTGATGGCCACCAGAGCCTTCTTCGATTCAGCTTTTATATCCTCAATTGATTCAAAACTGTGCCTCGGAATTTGTTGAATAGCCAGAAGTTACACGAAATTTCGTGAAGTATAAATTAAAAATTCACCTCTCCATTTAATCACAGTAGTATATGAGCAATGTCTCCTGAAATTTTGATATTCATCATCATCATGGGTGTCTGACAAAAAAAGTGATGACGAAAATCATTATATGTATGTGAATTAGAGTAGTTTAACATGACTTTATCTATTTTCAGCAATCCCACAGTGAGTCAGATGTTCTACAATTCTAATATTAGTTATATAGCGGTTAAAAAAAATATCACCTATTTTTATTCATTTAAGACCCGAAGTGTTATTAGCACACTGACCGATGTATGTGGTATAAAATCAACTGGAAGTTCGAAATTATTTATATTAGGTATATAGGGCTAAAGGAAGTATCGATCTCATTGACCCCATTTTTGACATAAGGTAATATTATTATCAAAAAAACATTTTCCTTCAATTACATATCTCACAACTGACAGATGTTTTCGGTAGTCAGTCAGCCATACACGTTGGGGATATAGCCCAATTTCGATCAAATTTAATATACATACATACATTACATTTAGTTATTGATTTATCGGGCATTCGGTAGTTTTTAACAGCAGAGCGGGGATATCATCCGATTTCACATATTTTCAAATGTTCTGAGAATAATTGAAAGAATTTGTCCTATGCAAATTGGGGTCAAATAGCTCGAATTGTATGGAAAATTAAACCTGTTGGGGAGCCACCTTTTAAACATTTTTCAACCAGAGGTTCCTCGGTTAATGCAATTTGTTTTACCAAAAGACAGTTTATATCTTAATGTGCGGCTTACTATGACAAATTATAGGTTTTCAATTATTGGTGACTTGTGGGCGTGGCATGTCTGATTAGGTCCATCTACAGTACCAAAGCTCTTTTGACACCAAGGAAAATGTGAACGGATGGACGGACTTACTGACAGTCACCGGTCTTCAGTCATCATTCCGATCATTTTTATACTCTTGCAATCAGTTGCTACATAGTACCTGTATTATAGTTTTGTTCACCTAACGGTTGTACGTATCACCTAAAACTAAATGAGATAGATATAGTATATATATATAAATGATCAGGGTGACGAGAAAAATTAAATTGAAAACCGTCCGTGAAAGCTGTAACTTGAGTAAAAATTGAGATATCTTTATTAAACTTGGTATGCAGGTTGCTTAGTACAAAAAAAAGTTCGAGTTCGTAGATGAGCGTAATCGGACCACGATCACGCCCACAAATCGCCATTAATCGAAAACCTATGAAGTGTCATTATTAAGCACCAATTTAAGATATAAAACTCTTATTTGGCACAGATGATCACAGTAGAAAGGGTCATCTGTGGGAAAGAAATTTTAAAAAATTGGGCGTGACCGCCCTCTAATAAGTTTAATGTTTATAACTCCTGAACCACTTAAGCTACAACAACCAAATTTGCTCAGTACGAATATTACAAGAACACCTAATGATAGTGCGAAAATGGAAGAAATCAAACCCGTGTCTCCCCATTTTACGGTACTATTCAAAACTATTTAAAACGCGATAAATCAATAACTAAACGCGTCAGAAATGCAAAGATTTGCCGCCGGGATGGTATGACAAGGTATTATAGGGAATCCCATATCTCGGGACCCGATTGACGATTTCGATTTGGTATGTAGTATTTTTTTCAAATTTCTATGACACAGTGTGAAAATGATACAATTTTAAATTTTAGTAGATTCTTTCACTTTCCAGTACACAAATTAAAAAGTAAATCATATAACGGGATAAAACTTTGCGCGAATGATGCCAAAAATGTTTCAAATCCAACAAAAACTGTTCAAGACCATAGGTACCGAATATTTGGACACCGGAACCTACAGTTGACTCATCATCAAAAATGTCGGTCAATGTGATATACATATATATAATATAATTGAAATTAAGGGATAATCCTTCTCTTATAATGATATGTCTGTAAGTCAAAAATTTCCCCGACTTTGATTTTTGCAAGTTGCAAGAGTTTAAAATATTCGGTTGCACCGTAACTTAGCCTTCCTTACTTGATTTTATATTAAGTATATGCGTGACCCTAGCCGCAATTTTACTACCACTATGACTCAATTTTATCCTTTTTTTGTCACAACGACATAGTATTAGCAAAATAAAAACTGTTCGTCGGCTTTCAATAAAAGTATAACAATAAGAGTCACTAATATATAATTAAAATCTTTAAAATCTTTTCGAACTATTATACTCTATAGCAACTTGTTGCGCCAGTATAAAATGAGTATCGCATTTAAAAATGGAAAAAGTCTGAAGCAAAGCAAATCAAAAGTTGTACGATAATCATCTGATACTCGTTGTTCAGTCACTCAGTTGGCGTTCGTTCTCATTAGTATTAGTAAATTGAGCTGTCTATAGACATTCCAATACAAAAGCAAAATTGTCTGTACAGAGAGGTCTCCTCGCAATTTTGCATAAAGCTGTTATATGCATTTCGATGACAGTAATTGTTGGTGTTACCCGTTTCTAGCAATTAGAAGAACTTTTATATTGTTTTAGTATTGTTGAAACTTTCAATGTGAACGGTTGCGAAACAAAATTTTAAATTCAGCTCTAAATTGAACATTCTAAAAGAAGAAATATTTGTATTACTAACATGGTTTTTATCGAAATAGGACTTGTGTCCGTGCTACTCCTGTACATTTTCTACAAATGGGCAATACTTACATTCAACACGTTCAAAGAGCGTGGAGTACCTTACGAAGAACCTTGGCCCTTAACTGGCAACGCCGGGGCGGTAGTATTAAATAAGGAAGGCTTTAATAAGACTTTGTTGAAATTTTATCAACGCAACCGCAATCAGTGAGTGGATATTGGAAATCTTAAAATTATACTTATTTTCACGTGAACTCATAGCTTATTGCGAACTTTTAGGGAAAATTTAATTTTAGGGTAGGGAAAATCAAACAATTTCGTTGAAAAAAACTAGTAAATAAACTATATAATTAAGAGGCATAAATGAGTTTGTGCAATGCATTCGCCATACCATGTATGCATCACAATGCCTCTCTGATCCTTTTATACATTGCGTGCACGGCAAAGCCATATATATATGAAATGTATTTTCCTCTGTTCAAACGAAGATACTGGAAAAAAATCTGGGCTATACTTGTATTGCTCTCTTCTTAGTTGAAAACTTAGTGCTTTTTGAAAACAAAAAAAACTAAGAAACCTTTAGTGCCTTGTGTTCTTTCCAGTGTTTTTATCTATAAGTGGCGAATAACCTGAAATAGTAATATTTAAACTTTCCTAAGGAGCTACAATTTTCAGTACTTTTGAAACGCAAATAAAAGCAATTTTTATATAACATAAAGGCGATCTTCATCAAATACGTAACCCAATTGAAGTGTGACTTGCTACCTTTGGCGACCAGAAACCATTTTACCGTTCTTTTTATTTTACATAAAAAAACTGTTTAAAAAAAGAAACTGTTGTTGTGATTAGATTAGATTATACTAGCCAGTTGTCACACCTTACATAGACCTACTGGTCCTTAGTAATGCCAGTTAGTGGTTCAGTTTAATTTTTGTAAACTTTAAAAGCGACTTGATATCTAATTTGGACTCTTCGTCCAGACGAGTTCGTGATAAGGCTGAACAGTAACTCTCTCATACCTACCATTCACTTATTGCATGAATCGTCGTTACTTATACCCATCCAGCTCACAAGAGAAGGCAATAAGTTGTGACCTGTCTTAGACCAACAATGTTCTGCAGCTTTTTCAAGACTGTGCGAGTAAAGAGCATGCCTGTTTTTCTTTCAACTTTTGCTTATGCAATGAGTTAAGGGCATGCAGGGTCGCAAAACCCCATTACTGTACTATATTGATTACTTTAGAAATTACAAATTGACTCAAAATCTGACTATTCTGTGGTTTCGAAATGACCTCTGTGGATATGTGACGTAAATAAAGGTGCAATACAATATACCACCAGCGTGAGGACACAATTTTACACATACATACATATATACATATCTTCATGTAAAAACCTTAATCAGTATTGCGTTGTATAGAGGTCTACACGTTCACTCCCCCTAACGTCGCGAATATATGAAGGATTTGGTCTAAAACACTGCGTAGTCGAAACGCTTCATAACCAAATTTTCGACCAAAGTATTAATCTCGTATGAGCGTATAATTTTGTTTTCTATATGTTGAAAGATCAATTGTCAGAATTAGATTAGATGCAGGAATGATTCACACATCAACACATTTATATATATTTTAATAAAATTAATTGCAGCTTCATGTGTTGAACACAATGCTCGCGACAGACTGCAGCAGCACGAYARYGAACTGAAAATGGCGTTGTGAATCCTACTACATGAACGTTTGTGAGAGGGCAGCAACATAACAATGGCCGGCATGTACACAAAACAACGCAGTTGTCCATTTCGCATGTACACAATTTCGTTGTGGCTATACTAATACCTTGCACTTCAATGAAATTTTAATATTTTGTCCAAAGTGAAATTTTTAAACAAAATATAAGTAAATTGATATATTTATTTGTTTTAAATTGTCAATTGTTCTTATAAATAATGTAACAGAACCATTTTATGCTTTTCTTTGTAAAATAACGTCAGGTTTGTTAGAGCTTTGARTAATTYTACATTTTACATATTAGTGGCATCACCACTCTACCTCATCTCTCTATCTTCCATTCTACTGTCAACTCTACTGTCGTCCTACTGTCGTTGGCAAATATAGGATAAAATTGAAGTTAGCGAGGACGAAAACTGTCGGCCTGTCGCCGTGTAGTCGTGCAGCTGTCAAAATAGGTTCGTCGATAAGAACGTGTGTATTTTAATATTTGACAGATGTCGTTTGCAGTCTGTCGCGAGCATTGTGTTCAGCACATGAAGAAATTTATCACCTTATACGTAGTGGTTTCTGCTATAAAAGTTATCACACATAATAAATCACTTTGAGTATCTCTGTTTCAGTGTCAAGATAATGCGACAATCTATGTACATATACATATGTACACGCGTGCGCATACACATGCATATATTTATGTATACGTATTATTAAAATCTTTGTTCACGCGACATATGTACATAGAATGAAAAAAAGTAATACAACTTTTATCTATTCAATATAAGCAATTTAAAATTGTTTTACAAATTCATCATACTGATTTTCCTATATTTATTATATAGTTTGATAACAGACCTTATTTCATATTTTCCCACTTCGCAAAATAAATAGTCGTAATTTTAAACAAAATGCTTGTTGACTAATCATTGTTCAGACGACTACTCTTTATGCACGGGTATTTGTCTCTATTACGTAGTCTAATCTGTGCAGTAAAACATCTATGATTCGTTTTTCTAGAAACCCTGTAGGAAATTAATCGCTTATTGCTTTATCGAAAAGCAATATAAAGAGCAAGTAAGGAAAAGCTAAGTTCCGATGTAACCGAATATATTTTATTTACGTAAATTGCAAACGGCAAAGCCGGGGAAAAATATTTTCACAACAGAAATGTAGTCCAC